TATTAACAAAATCTTTTGAATAAATGTACATTTAAATTCATCTTTTGATATATATAATTGAAATTGCAATTTTACTTCAGTATAACACGGAAAGATAAGTGAACACTGTTTCATATGATTCTCATATGATCACCGTTTCATATGATTCTCATATGATCACAGTCAAAACATTCGTATGAATATTACCTTGAATTTTAGTATAACAAGGACAAATTAGTGAACATTGTTTCATATGATTTTCATATGTTCAGTTTCATATGATTCTCATATGATTATTGTCAGAATATTCATATGATTCTCATATGTAGGATCTTTCATATGATAATCATATGTATATTACTTCATATGATTCACATATGTATGATCATATGATTCTCATATGATTGGCCACATATGATTCTCATATGATTGTATAAACATATGATTCTCATATGATCCACATATGATCCTAATATGAAAGGCAATGCATATGTGGATCATATGTGGCTAAATTGCCTATGTATATATCACTTTAAAGGGGTCATTTTTCCATGGGGGTCAATTATTTATAGGACTAACATATAAAATAATGACTCCCTAGGACTCTTTTTCTACAAAAAATGAATTTTTTCTACGGGTTGGGGGTCATTTTTCGACAGCGAAAAATGACCACCGGTCATTATTCGATGGGGGTCATTATTCGTCTTTACACCGGCAAGTGTGTCTTTGTAATTGCCAGCAAGGTCAGCTGCCCAACGACAAAAATCAAATCTTTGAACATGATCCAAGATACTTAAACTTGATATTAACTAATTTTAAAATTTTGTATGGTAAAAGTTTGAAATTCTTCCTCATTATGTCCAGAACACATGTTTTATAGATTCCAGTTTCTGAGGAGGAACGTCTAACTGATTTCCCTGGACTGTTAAAGAGCATTTTTCAATTCTCTGGACTGTTAGAGGACATTTCTCGAAGAGTACACATATTTTTGTCATTCAAACTTAACCTCAGCCGACCTGCTTTTAGCGCATCTGCTACTGATCCTTGTTAATTTTTAGATGTAAATAAAATTTTGAAGACATACTTCCTGGTCATGTTTCAATTTTTAAAATTGAATCCAAAATTTTCATTAACGTCTTTTACACTTTTCGTTTCTTAAATTGTTTGATGATAAAATTCCCTTTTCTGACATTTTGAAATTACGTTTAATTAAAATGACGTCATGGTGTCAGAACGTCGTAAGTTTTAACTCATTACATTTTCTCATTGTTAAAACTTTCGTTCAAGGCCTTTCGAATGATATATGAGTTTCATTGAAATTATAGCTCTAGATTTAGCGAAGTTATCAACATTATAAAGTGTTACCTTTATTTTCGGACACACTGTACATGTCAAAAATTTAAATACATGCTAATTTTGAAAATGATTTGACATGTTGGTCCTTTTATGCGCATTATTCTGTAGATAAATATGTGTATGCATAATCTATTATTAGTATTTCACACTGTTTTTACACAAGCTCCGGTGCATAAACAAGCATATAAAGATAGAATTTTATTGTCTTGAAATTTAAAGTAGTGGACAGGAAATAAATGCCAAAGTTTTGAAAATTTCAAACAAATACTTTACGGACATACTGTAAAAGCACAAATTTTCGTGTGGATAAAATTTCGTTGATTTGTCATCAAAAATAGTTTTGTGGGGATTTCAGTTCATTGTTTTAAAAGTTTCTCTATTCAATATTCAGTCATATAAAATTTCGTGTGGGATTTAATTTCATTGATAATTGTGAACAACGAAATCAACGTTATTTAATCGCCGATAAAATTTATGGTTTTACAGATGGTCCCCCTTGAATCAATACTCCAGCACGCTTTATTGCTATTGACCTTGATTTGGGAAAATTAAAACATTGAAGGATATCTGGTCATGAAGAAATCCGTAAGGATGACGATGGAAGCTCCAAAAATTATAAATTAGTCAAATTAATTTTAGAAAAAACCGTCTAAAGAAATTAATTTTCAGTCATCTCAGTCATTTGCCAGTGAAAGGCGACAATTTATACCACCAATACATAGTCCTTAGTTATATATGTAAGGAAGGATTGGATTTGTCCCCGTCAGCAACTACTGCGACATTTGACCTTGGTGTAAACAACCTTATCCACGATTGTTTCTCCGTTCTGAAGTGGAATTATTCGAACCTTAGACGTAAGGACCACCGCGCAACGAAGAAATTTCATCACTTGTGTAGTGTCGTGGTAGGTGTGCATGTCTTATAATTGCAGGGGTTAACCTCACGAATATCACATTTTTATTTTAAATTAACACGTTTACATTAGCGTTATCTTATAATTAAATAAGTGTTTATACAAGACATTAGTGTTAATCATCTGAATCTTCAAATTTGAAACTGTTTTAAATTCTAAACATTATCTGACCATTCTTTGTACTTAAATTAATTTGAAAAATGTCGACCGGTAAAAACAAATTGTCGTAATTGCAATTGCCTGACTACTTATGAATATTTATGTAAAAGCTATTCTGCTTTCAATGTAAATTTAGTTTGTTAGTTAATGATTTATTGTTTACCTTTTAATTGTAAAAGAGAGTCCAATTAAGTGGGGTTATCCTTGTTAATTTTTTGAAATAAAATTTTGAAGACATACTTCCTGATGCATGTTTCAATAAAAATGCATTTTTTAGTTTGTAACTTTTCGTTTCTTAAATTGTTTCAAGAAAAAAAAAGAACTTTAATTAGGATTATTAAAATTGCATGGTTCGCCTAAGTTGGAGAGTCATTACATTTTTCTTCGTTAAAACTTTCGTTCAAGGCCTTTCGAATGATATATTTTCATTGAAATTATTGCATCTAGATTTGCGAGTTATCAACATTATAAAGTGGGAAATTATACAATTAAGTTAAGTCCTTGTGAACATTTTGCAAGTGAAATTAAAAATGCATTTATTTGAAACAATTACATGGAAAAAAAGGCCATTTGTCGTGGCTGTGTTGGAATTGAATGAAGCTTTTTACAGGCAAATAAACATTTGATTTTTACATAAGAACAATTATATCAAACTGTGAAAATAGCTTCTTTAGAAAACATTTTTCGTGGCTGTGTTGATATTGAAGCTTTTTACAGGCAAGAAAACATCTGATTTTTACACAGCACACTTTATCAAACTGTGAAAATAGTACCCCCACTTTACATGGAGTGATTATCAACGATAAGATGTATGAGTTAAAGGTTGAAATGAGAAATAATTATGTTAAACATAAATGTTAACAAGTTGCTTAATGATCATAATACATTTCATCATTCCATTGCTATTAGTTGACATTCTAACTATGAAATGATTTTGAAATTTGTAATTTGTTTGGACAGTAACATTGACGATAATATTTCATCATTGCAAAGAAGATGTTATGTGTCAGGATTTTGCTATAAATTTGAAGAACCCCTTAAATGAATTAATAATGAAAAGAAAAATTACATCTTGGTAATATATAGCTAAATTATAATCATATCTACTGTCATCAGAGGATCAAAAGGACACACAGACTGTAGGCAATTTTCAAAATTCATTCAAGGTTAATCGTATTTGGTAATCATCTATTATGCCCTTTGCTATAAAAGGTATGAGAGATTTCAACGGTTCATGTATATTTGGACAAAGTTGCTTTCAATACAAGTCTAGAGGTAGGCGCGAAACTTGTTTTAGCAAAAAAAGTATGGAAAACTCTTATAATACATAAACTACTGCTACTGTATATAAGAGGGAAATCACCTTTCATTAGGGTTTTATTGCAATTTTTGTGGCTAAAGGAGCCCTTTTATTGGGAATATCTATTTTATATTTTTTTTATTAAATCAAAGAATCTGCAGCTTTCTCAAATAGCATATAAATTTTTACATCTTTTTTGCAATATTTAAATGCAACGGGAAGGAAATCGAATGGTAAAAAAATACTTTTAACCGAATGATATCATAAATTTGATGTATTTATGAATTATATAAATTTACTCTATATACTGTACACATGTCTCGTTAGAAATATTATACAGCCAAAACTCAGAGAAAAATACATTTCTAAAAATTACTAGGGACTACATGAACACTTTCTTCGGTTTTTCTCCTCCATTCAAATTTCCTTGATGTGAAGTTTTTGTGACGAAAAGGATTTTCTGTAAATGTGAATCATCTAGGTTTTTGTTAATTTTATTTATAATGTGGATATACTACGTTAACCCTTTGTATAATCAATGAAAATAATACATTTTTTTATATTTCTAATCAGACGGTATTTTATTTACAGATGCAGAAGCTATTAATACTTTTCTTCTTTTTGTGTTTGATTTACACCGCCGATTCATGCATGGATTGCCGGAGAAATGGCGTAAGTTATAGGGGAAACAGTGACTTTAGTTTTGATGAGCGGTGTTACCTCTTCCATTGTCGATGTTACTGTAATGGATCATGGGACTGCCCCTCCTTCCTGACCCGGAACCTCTGCCGAAAACCCACAGGATCCAATCAGTGTCGAACATGTCAAGCAAATGGGGTAGAGTACCCAGGAAACAGTGACTTTAGTTTTGATGAGGGGTGTTACCGCTTCAATGGATCAAGAAACTGCCCCTCTACGAGGACACAGAACATCTGTCGACGCCCACAAGTACCAGATAGAAGCTCTCCGGGGTGTACAGTAAAAGGGAGAAATTACACTGCCGGGCAATTCTACTATGACGACGTCTGCCTCAGAATTTTCTGTGAATGTGATTGTAACAGGTCGTATAGCTGCACTTCCGACATGAACATCTGCTAACCGTTTCATTATATGCAATGAACATTCTGTCATTAAAGGTCTTACGCAAGGAAATAGCCAATCAAAATGAACTTAGTCAATTGAAGTTCCATATACAGTGTATATAGAGAAATTTTTTTTTTCTTTTTTCATTTTTGGCAATTTGTTTTAGGCCTACAGTATTAAAATTGGACTCATGTACTAGGAATATCATTTCTTTAGCAGAATTATCTCACTGAATTAAAAGGAACTCTTTTTTCAGGTGCGCATGATGCAACTTCCTGGATGGTGTGTAGGCTGTTTGTCAACATGTGAATCCCACGTGCATTTCGGGGTAGGTATGTTTACTGTCGATTTTCTTTCTTAAAAGCCGCATAAGGCATATTTTTTCTGATCTCAAATTTTTGTTTAAGCATTAATCTTTATTTTCTCTTTCATGAATTTTCTGCTGAGAGTCTAATAAATTAAATAATTTAATTCAAGCTTTATAGTAATATATAGTGAAATTATTTCCTTGTGTGAGACCTAAAGAGAAACAGGTAACTCTCATTTTCACTAAAATTTCTCTGATTTCAGGAGTTGTCTCCCCTTGAAAAGATCAATAATGGCGGATAAACAATGCGGCATGCAGTCTTGTCACCAACGGACAGTTTTGACCACCCGTGTACCCATATTTCTACCAGATACCTCTGAAACCTTTGTTGTGTTCATCACACAGGTAGGAAAAACAAGATTTTTAATTCAAATAATTTTAATGAGCTAAATAATAAAGAATATAACATTTTTACATGTACAGACTCTCTCGTATAACAAAATGTCACATTTTACACATACAATAATACATTATTCAAATGTCCTCATTTTCCCCATTAACACAGTTGAAAATAATCAATGCATAATGAACCATAAAAACAATTATTACATGTAAGATAGTTCACAAAATATATTTTAAATACAAATTTTATACATTTGAAATACATGTACATATCATCAATGCCCCCCCCCCCCCCCTTTCACAGTCTTACAACTTCCTTTTTAATTTTGGATCTGTTAATGATTTACTGTAAGTGTCTTTAGATTTTTTATCGTACAGCTGATATCTTTTAGATCTGTAGTATTTTCTTTGAAATTTATATTTTAACAGTTTTTGTTTCATTTTAAAGTAATTTTGTCTATTTTGTTGTTGTTTTAGATGATGGACCACTCTACTTCCTTTTACAACAGGTGCCCCTACAGATTCACAAAGTTCCAGTGTTGAGTTTCCATGACCCCTATTCAGTGAGTGTACAACTTTATGTATTCTACTTTCAAAATTTCTACTACTTGTAATACATTTTGGATTTGATTTTAAATATGCTCTATTTACAGATTCAGATTTTTGTGTACAAGTATGACATTTGATTCTTTCAAGATTACTTTGTCCTAAAGTCAAATTTATACAGTCTTTTAACAAACATTTGTCTTTTTCTGTCATGTTTAATTCAAAGTCACTAGGCAACACTGAAGATTTCCACTTATTGCTTTTCAGTCCACGACAGGAAAAGGAATAGAGTTGACAGGACTTTCCGCACTGTCCCTGGTAGCAGTTTATGAGGGAACCAACCGCAGTAGACATAGCACGCTTCATCAAAGGTAAGTCGCCGGAGTAGTGTTTGTAGCAATTCTCGTACTCTGTCCTGCATCGAAGCTTCAGGTCCAAGGCAAATCTTCGCTGCATGGATTCTCTTATGGCCTTGGTTCTTCCCGGAAACATATGACTGCTGAATGGAGCCTTAGCAGTCTGTTTTCTTTGAGAGTCAAAGAAGTGACGCAAGTCCTTAAGGTTTTCAATCACATGTCCTTGTTTTTCAGATGCACCAGATGCAGCGGCACTGTCTCCATCACTGGTGAAATGGGATATTACTAGTGGCCGGTCATCACTCTGTAACTCACCGACACAATTAGCGGCCCATCTCTTCTCGTCTCCAATGGTGGTCTTCGGAGGAATGGTTGCAGTGCAATCTTCATGTCCTGGGCAGGTAACCTCTTTTCCTTTGCTTCGTAGGTGTGCGCCTTTCTTACAAAGTTTATTCCCACAGAAAACTGCTACCACATTCTTCCTCTGAGTTACATTTTCACTTACGGTATACGTCACTTGGGTGGCAGCTTGGAATGGGGTTTTCCCAATGGCACTGAAGGTGGCATTATTGTACCGAGCATCTCCTTCGGCTCTGATGGGGGTATCCGGAAGTCCACATTTTTCATTAAGTTCTTGAATATTCTGCCGAATTTTCTTCATACTGTTTTTATTTACATCAGTTATAATTTTCCCCACTTTGTTGCAGGTCTGTTGCATGTTGGCGGCTGACGCTGGTTCAATATTTGCACCAAGAAGCATACCACGCATACCCTCTGTTGTAAGACTGGTACCCAGGTGACCGACGGCCATGGCCACATTCAGCTGTGCAGCTCTTCGTCCCCTTCCAGATCTTCTCACCTCTTCGTAAAGCTTTCTCGGTGACTGGTATAGTGGCACTTCTTACATCGGATGGAAAGGATCCATGCCAGGCCTCGTTTTTCCTCCCCATGCTGATTCCAGTCCAGTGGACCATCACAGTCAGGAAACTTCTGTAAGTGTTCTTTGAATGCATTGTTCCACAATTTAGCAGTCTTTTCTTGGTGAAGTACCTTGTATAATTTTGCATTTGGGTCATCTGACACAGATTCCATGTAGGTGTCCACTGGCTGGACCTCACTTGGCCCGGGTCGTAAAAACTTCATCTCGCTGCTTCGGCTCTTGGCATCTATAACTGTAAACACCCCATTTTTCTGTGGCCGTACAATGCCCTGAAACTCTTCTTTACTTAGTCTTCTTATGGGAACTAGAGATTGGACTGGGCTGGTGGTCCCTATTTTCTTCTGGCCTTTGTTGTGAGGAATACTTCCTTTTTTGTATTGATGTTGATGCAACCATTTTGGTCCTTTCTTTGGCATGGTAATTATTTAACTGTATACTTGTAGACTTTTTCTAAGAATATGCTATTGTATGTGGTGCACATTTTTAAGTATTGTAAACTTTTGTGTTGTTTATTTATTTTAGAGCTGCCTGGTCTTCTAAGAGAAACTCCATTCTTTGATGACTGATGGAAAAGCCTCATCACCCCCCACTGCTTAAGAACCCCTTATCTTAATCACCAGCCATTAATCAGTGATCACTGTTATCAAAGCTCCAAGGTACATTATTGAAGTCTCTTTTGAAACCATTTTTTCCAGTCTCTGACTTTGTTTTAGAATTAAGATTTTCACTTTTTTGCTAATTAATTCCTTAAAAATCAGTTAACTTCCTGTTTCTTAGCTAATTAGAGCTCATTAATTAGAGTTGAAATTATTTTTTAGCATATAGCCAAAAACTACAATACTTCAACTTTCAATTCATTCAATTTTTTTTTCTTAATAATTCACTCATTAAATTTTTCAAGTTTTGAAATTAATATGCTAAAGATGAATTTGTACAGAAATTTAGCCTAAAATTCAATAATCTGTTAGGAAGAGTTATCTCCTATTTTTCATCCCTTAAGGACAAAGATAAATTTTGATGCACTAGTATAAGAAAGATAAATAACTCAGAGACATTTTGTGCAAATTTCATTTAATTTAATTAACTTTTAATTGTCTTAAAGGTCTTACGCAAGGAAATAGCCAATCAAAATGAACTTAGTCAATTGAAGTTCCATATATATAGAGAATTTTTTTTTCCTTTTTCATTTTTGGCAAATTGTTTTAGGCCTACAGTATTAAAATTGGACTCATGTACTAGGAATATCATTTCTTTAGCAGAATTATCCCACTGAATTAAAAGGAACTCTTTTTTCAGGTGCGCATGATGCAACTTCCTGGATGGTGTGTAGGCTGTTTGTCAACATGTGAATCCCACGTGCATTTCGGGGTAGGTATGTTTACTGTCGATTTTCTTTCTTAAAAGCCGCATAAGGCATATTTTTTCTGATCTCAAATTTTTGTTTAAGCATTAATCTTTATTTTCTCTTTCATGAATTTTCTGCTGAGAGTCTAATAAATTAAATAATTTAATTCAAGCTTTATAGTAATATATAGTGAAATTATTTCCTTGTGTGAGACCTTAAAGAAGACAAAAGTCTATATAAATATATATATTTATTGATATCTTTAGTTAGTGGATGATAAACTTAGCTGTCATTCTTGCAATCGGAGAATATAAACAGTGTAAACAAACCCCATTTCCATTTTTTTTCTCTATAATAACCCTTTGAAAGTAAGCAGAGTTGATTTCCTGATAATTCTGCCGGAATATAAATTAGGCAGGTCGATAGGTCAGCAGCTAATGACGCCTAACACGCATGCAAATCTCGTGCACATCTGTCTCTGTGTCTGGCGCTAAGGAGGCCAAATATGCATGTAAATCTCGTGCGGCTGCCTTTGTGTTTGACATCAATGTGCGAGGACTATTGAAATTGGCATGCAAGTCATCGTGTAATTTAAATCGATTAGTCTACATTCTTAATGTCTACGTCTACAATTTTATTTCACAATGAAATGGAAATATAAGGAATCACTGTCTAGTTTTGAGAGTATGCCAGGGACATCAATAATAGTGGGAAACATGGGAAAATTTTAGCAAAACGGGCTATGCTAAATAGGTGCTATTCAAAAGGAAATTACTGAAATACTGACACTCTCTATCAAGAGAACCCGATCTCAAAGAAATATTCAAAGACAAACCAATTATATAGCTTATAAAAACATAAAAATTTAGGAGATCTCCTAACGTGTTCCAAACTAAAATGAATGTTTATTTTAAAAAAAAATCACTTACTGGTCAATTACAATGTGATAAACCAGATCATTTATTGATATATTAACTTACTGTAATATTCCTGAATATTTCTGCAAACAACTTCCATCTATGTTTATAATAAAAATAAACATAGCATTACCTTGGGAAATTCCATGACCGGTTCTACGATTGAAAACACTTACTGGTATACAATAAATCAAATAGAATAAATAAACAATATTTGATTTACACATATAAGTGGATTCCTGATGATGGCGGACTTCTATAACTCATTATAATCAGTTATTAGGAACTTTTATTTATAATTTGGCCTGTTATCACACCGCCGAAACACTAAATTAGTGTCGGATCTAAGTGAAACGGGTTTCGTGGCTTGATGGGAGTAACTTTTTTATAACAGTTTTCCATACATTTTCTATATTAAAAAAGAAAATGTCATCATCAAATCGGTACTAATTTGCCTGACCAACAGTTAATCAATGGCCACTCAAAGCCCCATGGGTGGCTCAGTTACTTTGTATTGATCGAATCGAATGAATTGAAGATAGGCCAATGAAAGCTTACATTGAGACTTCACAATAAGTTTCCAAACTTAAGAGTCATTCTCTGTAAGAATCAAGAATTTAGAAAAAAGTTGGAAATGGTACATCACAGATTTTGCTGATTTTTTGCATGCAATGTAGAAACACCACGTATAGAACATTTTTGGAGTTAATTTTTTATTTTGAGTCCCGGTTGCCATGGTAACCAAAACCCACCATTTTGAGGCCAAAAATAGAGAGCAACTTACTGAAAGTACACAATCTTTATCATAAATTTATATTTTCTGCATTTTATTTACAGATTTAATTGTTGCATACTCTGATAGAATATTTGTTGTAGTAACTACCACAACTGATGAAATTATTCAATAGATGGTCATAAAAGAGTTGTCTTTCAGTGAAAAGTGTAAATTTTTCAATTTTTAACATAGGAGATGGGTGAACATTACGAGAGATAAGCCCATAGTGCAACAAACATGAAGGTGAAAAATTAAATCTCAATTTTATCTTAATATTCCTTAATTTTTCATCTAACATTAAAGTATACTTTATGTAGAATCTCTACAACTTGCACAAATCTCATGAAAATTGAAGTTATTTGCCTATGAAATATGATGCACACACGAAGGAGGACAAAACGAGTCATTTTTTCACACTATAACACTATTTTTCGTTATGAGTGGGTCTTCTCTCCATTTTTTTGAAAGGTAATCCTCAAAGTTTGCATTAAAACATACATATTTTTGTTTCCAAATTTATGGAGCAATGACCCACTATACCTAAAAAATATAAGTTTATGACATAACTTAAGTATCTTTTCAAGAAATACTCGAAGTCCCTTAAGTTAATGGTCATATCACAAACATGATTTAACTGCCACACTTCATCAGGACTTGTGTAGCGTAGTGGTTAGCGTGCTAGTCTCAATAGAGAATGCAACTAAGGATTTTTATTGCCAGGGTTCGAGCCCAATAGATTCCACATTATTTT